AATCTTATTTCCTCAACATTTCCTTGATGGACAACATGTCCCACTTGCTTCAATTGTTGAGAATTTCAAGAATTTTTTTTCCAGCTCATAGTTGTTGTAATGCTTGCTTTTGTTGTTATTTAATAAAATGAGATTGTGGAGTTGTTATTTTCTACTGTTAGTTCTTTTCAAGCCACATTTTGTATATTGAACACATCTAAAAGAAGATAGAATAAAACTGTGAGAAGTTGTTGAATTTCATAGCTTCGTAAGAACCATAAATAAATAAATTAGGGTAAAATTTAATTTTCCTTTTACTGGTACGTGAGTCAGTGTGTAAAAGCAATAGCTGGGTGGCATCAGTAGCAACAGCAGTTACAATTTTTTCTTTCTTTTCTTTTTTTGTGCCTTCAATTTATTTTCTCACTTTTTTTCTTTTCTTTTCTTTTTTATGTATGTACATATTTTCTATATATCTCTCGCCATCTCAGATAGCATTAATATGCTCATTGTTCTCATTGTTTGTCGTGTCATCAGTCTTGCCTGTTGTTGTATATATGTGCTATTCACTATGTGTTGTCGACGCTACATTTTTTTTATTTATTTTCATGTGGATGGTAAGAGTGAAAAATAAAATGCGGAAAAATGATAATAAGTCTACTGTTCAGCTGTTTCTCATTTCATTTTTCATGCTGCTGATGTTGTTAGTGCCCTCCAATCTCACTTTCTTTTATTTTTTCTTTCGTTCTTAAAGTGACACCGTTGACTGATTGCCCTCATTCTTCTCATCTATTCTTTTTTCCTCATTTCATGTTCAATTCTTATGCTTCATTGTTGTTGTCTTTTATTGCTCCTGTTACGTTAAAAAGGAAAATTCATTCATTCTTCTTCTTTTCCTTCTTTTTTTTGAATTTATTATTTAGTTTTTTCTTACTGCTTCTTATTCGTTCATTCATAAAGAATGTATATATGTACAAGCATAGTTTGAAGGCACGAGAAATTGAAGACTGAGATTTTATCATGATTTTCCTTCATCACTTTATATTTCTTGTTTTTGCTTCTTTCTCTTAAACAGTAAGGAAGTAAAAGTTTCTTTTTCAAGATTCACCGAGTGATGGCAGGAAAAATAAGTCTCTGTTTTGGAAATTACCATTTTTTTCCTACATCGCAAATGGAATGCTTACTGAAGACGATGGAATGTTATCATTACAAATTGCGTTACTGAATATTTTGTGCTTAAAATTTTTATGAGAATAATATTCAAATAGTTTATGGCTGTAAGTTTTCATTAAGGATTCTATTTTAAAAGTTGAAGGATGTTGTCTAAGGAGTAGGATACGATAGACAAATAAATCTTAAAGTTGTTCCAACATTCAGCTTTAAATCTCATACACGCCAAACATTACTCAATTATTTCAATATGTTTGCTATACCAAAACATATTTCCACTAAGCATTGCTATCATCATGAAAGAATTAGAACCCCCTTAATATAATTATGTTCTTACTTACTGGAAAAATACTCCACCCTATCATCTTAACACACAAACTTATATTTATCTGTGACACTTTTTCTCTTTATTATTTATTTTCTCTTCTTTTCTTTTCGCGATTTATTTTTTTCTCATGCCAAATGGCACACATTCATATTTATGCATACATGAAATGATATTAAGGAATGTGTTTGTCAACTGATTCGCGGTATGTTCTTATTGTAGGGCTGAATTTCCATTTTTCTTTTTATTTTCTTTCCCCTTTCGATCTTTTGGTGTCGAAAGATTCTTTTACTAAGTTTATGTGTGAGTTGGAGCTTCTGTGCTTTCGATAAAAAGAATTATGAAAGAAAAAACAGGGAGGAAAGGATGTAGATTTTTTTGTGACTTCTGCTACAATACAAAATATACTCACATGTATTTATACATTTTCCATTCCTTCATCATTTCCCGGTAAAGATTTATTTAGCTGCGGGTTGTCTAGTTCATATCTATTTATTATATTGCATGCTATTTCGTTCAACTTTTTCACTTCATATTTTCAACAGTCTTGTTTTCTTCTTTTTATTTTCCTCTGACTACATAAACGCTTATACGATCTCAGTCTAATGCGAAACGGAATTTCATGTTGCGAAGAAAGAAGGCTTATACGAGCAGATAATGTATGAGAGCAACTCAAAAATGGCCCATTTGTGGATGCTGTGAATTGAAATGAAAATTTGATACATCTTAACACCATATCAAGTGTGGATGAATAAAAAATCTGTTGCAAAACTACAACCAACTATAGGCACTTAAGAGATTTTCTTATTTTGCTGGTTAAGTGGAAAAAGGAAGAAGAATAAAAATTGCTTTTAAGCTCTAACCTCAAAAACCTGTCATAATTGCTTGTGAAATATATATCGCGCATTTCGTGGTTGCTTTATGTTTTCACATATGCTGCTTTCTTGTTATATTATGTCTCACTTTCTTCTACTTTTACGTATGTCTCTTTCATGTCAAATAAATGAGCAAGAAATTAGGAAAGAAGTTTGCAAAAAAAAAACACAGAGAGGAAGTGTGTAGGTGTTTGAATGATAAAAAATAAGGCTTGATCACATCATGTCAATTTTTAAAAGTCACCAAGGAGTTCGAAATCAAGCCCAAGATCATTTACATGAATCCAATCTTAAGAACTCTAACTTTATTCTAGTGTCTGAGCCTTATTTTACTCGTAAAAAGTCATATCCTAAATTATGTACGAAGTGAAAATTAATCTTCAAAGAATTTTTGCAGTGGCTCAAATTAATTTTGAAAATCACGCCTCAGTCGTCGTCAGGTGAAAAATATCTCGAATTTATGATGGCTTGTGAGTGGCTGCCATAAATTAAAACTACTCTCTAGAGCTTTTTATCGTTTCTATCGCGCTCGTTTGCTGTTATTTTTGCCTCATTCATAAAAAAATTAAAGTAATTCTGGTTGGTTCTTTTGGTATAGCGGTCGAAAATATTGTTCGTATATGGAAGTGCGTACATAAATTTTCACGCTTCTCTTTTAGCGAAATCTAGTATAAAATTCGCAGTTATGGATGTGAACGAACGAAAGAAACGCATTTTACTCGCGTAGATTAGTAAATTCGTGTTAAAGTCACATACTTTTATGCAGTATGCTAAATCAAATAATAAGATCCAGTAACATCTAAGGCCAGCCAGCCAAAGTGGATCCATAAGCAAATTGTTTCCTAAGGATATAGAGATAAAAATTCTTGTTCTGGATCGTAATGACACATAGAAAATGAGAATGAGGAATGAACGTTATGAGCACTCGGTGACACTTAATGGCACTGGCAGGCTCATACATATTTTCGTTTCAACACTTATTCACTTTGGCTAACAAGAAGAGAAAAAGGAAAATTCTGCGTGAGAACATTAAAATGATAAAACAAATTAAATTAAGGAAGCAGTGTTCTCTGCTGTTCCTTTTTGTTGAATTTTTAATTTGACAAGCTTTTATAAATATTTTAGTTCAAAATTTTATTTGAAAAGAAAATTTTCTCTAAATTGATTTTTTTTTTTTTTGGGTGAGAGCCATTTAAGCTAATGCTATTTTTGCAAAACTGTACAATAGATCTAATCCAATCATATCTCATTGTCCGTTGGGATCAAAGTGAGATGAATGTTGTATGAATTCATCACTTCACAAAAGATTTTTACTGCTGAAATGACCTTATCATTCAATTGATAAACATCTATTTAGTTTTGTGTTGTCAAAATATTTTGTCACAAGCATGATTAATCTTTAAGCATGTCTGATATCCGTTAGTAACAACTTAATAAATTTCAAAATAAAGCTAAATATTTCATAATAAAAACATCGCATAAAGCTTTCAGGCGTTAAAGTTTATATACAACTTGCTTAATAAATTTTACAAATAGAACCATCTTGCAATTGGCACAATTCACATTATTCGTTATTATTTTTTAAAAATAATTGTCATTAAACAGCATAAAATAAAATATTGAATCTCATATCGTGCCATCGTCATGATAACAGTGCTTACAAGAACCAAGGAAAAGAAAGTTTCGTTTACCATTAAAAAGTCAATTGCAAGACAACAACAATAAAAGCTACAAACATGAAGAGGAAGCCATTATTTTAGAGAATATTTATGTGCACTCCAAGTTCTTCCACCAAAGTTTCAGTTACTTCTTTTTCTGTTTGAACAAAAATAATTTATAATTTTTTTTTATATGTGTGTCTGAATTTATAGCCAATTTTCTGCCGTCTCAAGGAAAAATAATTGGTAAACGTGCTTGGTTGAATAGAAAAAGAAAGCGCATTTTCTATAATTAACATTTTTTTTTTAATTTTAAAAGCTTGAATGTTCTCTCTAGTGTTGAAGATCAAATCTTTAGTTCAAGTCAAAAAGATCATATAGTATACTAACGGGATTGACAGCCTATTTCACCAACTTCCATTAAAACAGCAACTAAAGTTGTAAACTCGAGGGAGAAGTAAAAAACTTACGGCCTGTTTAACTAAAGTGGATTATCCTCGATTTCGGATTATCCACTTCAGATTTTTGTAAATATCTTAAACTTTATAGGAGGTGTAGTATTTCTAATTTTGGATTATAATAGAGTGAAGTAAGCCTGAAATTTTTGTATACTTTAAACTTTTTCTTTTCCTTAAGAAGTATTAATTATTCAAATTTCTAGCCAAATTTAGTAGATTAACTTCGATTCTTGCTATAATTCTCAAACCAAAGAAGATATAAAAATTCTAAGTAAATGTTAACTTAAGTAGCAAAGTACTCTAATTAATCGCACATTAGATCTCTTAATAACCTTAAGCGTCTAGAGATATTTCCAAAAAACTGAAGTGGATAATCTGAAATCGAGGATAATCCACTTTAGTGAAAAAGGCCGTTAATTACATGCGAAAACTGAAAGTTTCTCGACTACTGCAGAATAAAAACAAAACTTTTATGCTATTCGTGATAAAAAGAAATTAATGTTGAAATTTTTCTCTTTTCTTTGTATATTTTCAGCGTCAACAAATTGTGTCTTTCCTTCACAATGGAACGGATCGTGGTTCCAATCAGGAGAACAACAACTGATTACATTCAGCGGCTCAGCTATGAGCTCACGTGGTCGATGTGTAGCTAGTGATGGTGATAAATTTCTTCTAGTCAATGAGTAAGTTATCAAAAATACCTGGAAATCCGATGATTTTTTTTATTCTAAAGTAAAGTTTTTATCGAAAAAACAGAAGTAAAATATCACGAAGTAAAGTGTAAAAATGATAGAAGGAAAAGTTTCTTGAAGAACTGACTTGATTTTTTACTTCAATTCTTGTGAAGAAGTAAAAAACGACAAAAAAAGGAATTTGAGGAACATGAAAAGAAGGAAACTTTACAAATTAGATTATTCGATGTTGAACAATCTTTTCATTCTACTTCTAGTTTCATTTTTAAAGTATTTTTTTCCACGTGAAAAGTTGGAGTGAAGTGACTAAGCTTTAGAACCCTTCACTTCGTGACGATGAAAAGTTTTCATCTCGAAAAAGGCATTTTAATGTACTCATTTTACCTTTTTTTCTTCTTCTTAGTTTTCTCACAATCCGCAATCTCAATTTTCATCCTCTAGTTTTTAGTTTCAAAAGAATTTACGGATTGAATGGATAGATTGTCTAGCGCAGACGATGAATGAAATTCCAAGAAAAATTATTTAAAGTATTTTAATCTTGCAACCCATTCCATATTGATTGATGAGAATTAAACTTTTCGTCGATTTTAAAAATTAGATGCGAATAAAATGGCCAAATTGAGTCTTATTGTTTTATTTTTATAGACGCAGTTCATTGAAATATGTCTTCTTTGTGCTCATTTGTTTCAGAATCTTTTGAAAAAGGAGAAGTTTTGGTATCAAGCTTTTAAGAATAAGGCTGCTGATTTACCCATTGAAAATTTTCTATGATTATAAAGACATAAAAACAGAAATGGCATCAAGATCGATGCTATCTATTTATACATATCTAGTTGCAAAATTAGCAACTTTGTCATAGATTCTTGAAAGCAATTTAATCCCACCTACATACAAGCTGCATGAAGTTGAGTGAAAAATCCACCTCTTCGATTCATTTTAATTACCATGTATTGTTTTTAAAAATGCAATTCTTTCATAATCAATTTTAATTAAAACTTTACCATCAACTTCTACAATAAAAAGCACAGCATAATTCACCACCATTCAATAAAATTATTAATCCATTCAATCTGTATTCAAAAGAAATAACTTTGAGTAGTTTTTTCAACTTCTTTTCATTTGGCTGGCAAACTTTCTGTTCAAAATAAGTAGTGGAAAGAGAATAGAGAGATATAGAGCGAGGAGAAGAATAAAAGTGCATCAGCAGTGAAGTGAACTCTTAACGAATTGCACGAATAAGTGAGAAAACTTTTTCTTCCAAAGTTTCTTTTTTTTCTACTGCTGCTTTTCATAAAGCAATAATAAAGAAATGAAACTTGTGCATATTCTATACACATGTATCGACGTGATGATAAAGAGTACTTTATGCTCCTCACATATCCTTAAAAAGTTTTTTTTTATAAATTCTTACTCCTTGTCTTGTTAGAGGGTGCATTTATATATCCAAAAATGTAAAACATATTATTATTCACGTGTTGTGCAATTCCACTTCCCCACTCTGTTCTTTTCTCTCTATCTCTCTCTCACTTTTTCCTTTTACTCATATACATGTGTACAATTCTCTTTTCATTTTTTACTCGATAGAGAATAGAAAGTTATGAAAGTTTTATTCGTCACATCTGCTTTTTGCCGAAAAAAATAAAATAAAGAAAGAAGAGACAAAGTTTTGGTCGTTTTCGTTGCAAATTTCATAAATATTGAACAAAATAATAAAAGTACATGTATAAAATGCAAGGGATGGAAGACGTTCATGAGGAAAACTCATGAGATTGTTAAAAATATAATTATTGAAGTACAGAAAATTTAATATATCATTAATGCTTTCATGTGAAATGATAAAGATAAAGATTTAGTCACTTTAGTGACCCAGTTGGCAAAATGCATCGTGACAATTTTAAAGCAACAATACGTATGGAAACTATTCAAAAAATATAAGAGAACTTAAATTCGATCGATGAATTGAAATATACGAAGTTATGCATAAAAATATTTTTCTGATGCTGCTATTGAAACCAATAAAACAAGCTTTATGCAAAAAAGAGAATAAAAATCGAAGGGGTTCCATCATCATGTAACGGGATACTTTGTTCGAAATTTAACGGGATTCAAAAACATTTTTTTTAAAGAAAAGTTTGTCAAAAAAGTGAAGAAGATGGCTTCAACTTTTGAAAAGCAAATATAATTCTTGTTGATTCCAGTTCATTTTTCAACTAAAATGCTGAAATGAAACTCAAAATTTTGGAACCCCTAAGGTAAAAATATATTCAATAAAAGTTTCCCGAACAAATCGAATCGGAAAAATACACAATTTAGCACATCATAAATCACTGGGCTGTCTTCCACCTTCATCCAACTCATTTCACATATCTCATTTACAAATGGAAACTGTGCAGAAAAACTTGCAACAATAAATTTTTCAGCTATTGAAGAAAAATTTCATTGAAGAGAACTTTTCATAAAAAAATATAACAATACATGGTAAAAGTAGTCAAATGAAACATGAACATTCCTGCTTAAAGCAAAAGTTTATCTTTTGAATTAAAGGTTTTTTCCTAGCTTTTCATGTTTTTCTTCTTTTTCTTCATTTAAGTAGAAAATTGTAGAAAATAACTACACTGAAACTATGTCATGTCATTCATTCACTCACTCTTTTCTCATTTCCTTATTTCCTAATTTCCAGAAAAAATACAGATTGTAAAAGATGCGTTGTCATCTATGAAAAGCATCCAAATGTACTTCAATATAAGGAGAGTGAATGTGAATTAGAACAAAACAACAAACCATCATCAGCAGCTATCAGTAGTGTAATCAGAAGCGATTATAATACTGACTCAAGATATCAAGGAACTGATCAATATATAGATTTAGAAGGTAAGCCTTTTAAATTGTTTTTTTTTTATCATAGATTGTTTTTAGATAGGATAAAAAATTACTTGATTTAAAGACTTTTCTGCTCCTCTCATTGAATGATACAGATATTTTTTTATGGATTTTGCTATTTTTTGAGTTTATTAGGACGCAGAATCCTTGTTGTAAATTTAGAAAATAATGTTTTTCCTCAGCAATATTTTTATCTTGCTTTAAATTGTATCTCTTCTTCAACTGACTGTTATTATTAAGAATAAAACAAGGAACTTTCAATGAACAAGATTTAGTAGTCTTGCATGCAAAAAATCGAAAGTCTAATTTGTTTTTAAAAACCATAAAACCTAATCGCTGTACCTACATAATTTGAGAAATCGAAAAAAAAACTGCAGAGCTTAAAATATGTCGGAATTAAAATAATTTAAAATATTTGTCCCTCACGACTAAATTTGATATTTTGAACACAACATAGAGAAATGCGTACAATTTTATACACTTTTTACCTTTCATAATTCTTAGCTCCTCTCCAGTTGTATTATTCGTTCATGACTGTGAATAAGAAGAAAAAATCTACCGCTTTTGCTATTACTGATGCTGTTGATAAATTAAGATTAATTTTAAGATGTGGAGTGAATGCGTAATTTTTATTAATTTCCCTTTTGTGCAAAATAATGTTCATGCTGCGTGTTTTTCTTCCTTGGGTGTGTCCTGTTATTCTGAATAAGAAGAATTCTCTATGCTTACACAGGGACTTGTTTATCTTAATTTCGTCTTTTACTTGTTTTATATTTATTTTATTTATCTTTTATTCTTGGAAGCAATTTAATGATAATAACGATGATGATGACTGTCATGATAATGATAAAAGTGTTGTAATAAATGAAAGAATTGTATTCAACTTTAAGTAGATGTTACGAAAATTGAATAGAAATTATTGTTTATAATGAAAAGAAATTTTTTCATCCCATAAAATATGATAAGGCAAACAGGGTTGGAAAATGCCAAACACAGAATTGGAACATTATTTAAAATTTTATATTCTCATCAGTTGTTGTTTTCCAACCCTCGTGACAACTATCCTCGATAAAAATTAACAAGACAAAGTTTTCGTCGAGAAAATGCTTTAATCCCCATAACGCCCGAAAAAAAGAGAGAGCAGCGATGTAAGGGGGGGGGAAAGGGATAAGGAAAGTAGGGAATGACGTTGAGTAAGTACAATTTCCGTGAATCATTATTTTTTATCAGCATGAATGAACGTTGAGTGTTTTAAGTGCCTTGCTATTTCTCTTTCTCTTAAACTCACTCTATATCTTTATTCCTATAAGTAAATTATAAAAATGGTTTTGAAAGAGCGACGTGACTTTCATTGCGAAATACAACAACAACAGAATAAAATTCCTTTTTCCATTTTCTTTTCTTTTATTTATTTCATTATATTATAAAAAGAAGCGAGTGAGTGAATAAGGAAAATGAAAAGTTTTCACAGCTCCTTGACTCAATGGCCCGTGTGGTCATGCTGTTTTAGAAATTTTTCTCTTAATGTTATTTGTGACAAATTCAATTTAATTTAATGTATTTAAATTTTCACTTCTTCAAAACTCTTAAAAAACATGAAAGATAAAATAAAAATATTGACTGACATGTTGAAGACGATGAAATTGAAATTACTTTTTTATTTGGTCGGTGTTGAGTAACAATGTTTACAATCGAAGGACAAACAATATGACATAAAAATATTAATGCATAATTTAGTCACTACCGTTGAAAGATATGATGTTGTCAAAAATGCTTTTACATACATATTTGCCTTCAGTTATTGTGGCTATAAATTAAATTACTAAATTGAAAAAGAAAATGCTGTCACGGGGTGTTTTTAAAGATTACCTGATTATAGGGAACACTTCATCCTACTTAATAACAGGAATCCCAACTCTGAATAACAGAAAAAAAATAAAAAAAATCAGTAAATTCTAAAAATATTCAGAAATGCTTTTTATATGTTTCCGAGTGTACTTGTTCCCTTCCTGTAAAATTATTCTCTCTTTTTTGTTTATACATATTTTTTATGATGGAAGAAATTGAATAATTTTTTCTGTCACTTATTTTCTTCACATTTATACCCCCGTCGAAGTTAATTTTCATAATTTTCAATTTCTCTCCTTCAGCGCTTTTGTTGTTTTTCTCTGTTCTGTTCATCTGCCTTCGTCTAATTTTTTTCCACTTTCTTATCATTAATCAATTTAATGAAGCATTCTTTGGGGCGCAAAATGCGTTGTGTACTTTTTATATTTCATCTTTTTATCTTTTCTCTTTTTTTATTCCTATTTTTTTGAAGAATGTTTCATATTAAAAATTTATCCTATTTCTGGTGGCAACCGAAGCGCTTCTTCGAAGGGATCTCATTGACTTTGACTTTGTTTTTCCATTTCTATGCAACATTTATTGCCATCGCGTTTTTTGGTATGAGATGAGAAATCCCTCATGACTCTTTATATTAATGTTTATTTTGTCATTTTATTTTTTGTATGCCTGACCACTCTTTTCCTTTGTAAATCATAAAGTGGAACCTTTTTTTTCATTTTAGCGTCTGATAAAAAAGAATTTAAATAAAAAAGAATGAATTTTCCTTATTAAAGATGAAAACATCTCCAATTTTTAATGTCATAATGGAAGATCCAAAACATTATAAGACAGTTTTTATATCCTTTATGCACATTTTTTTGGGGGTGTTATAAAAGTGCTCAAAAATTTTTAGAAGTGAATGACTTCACATGATTTTTAAAATAGGAAGGTAAGAATAATTTTATTTGATAATAAAAATTCACTTTAATGAAAACTTTCATAAAAATACGCCTAATTTATTCATATGGAATGCCAATTTTACTGATTCTGATAAAAAAATTTGCAAAAATGTTTTTTAAATAAAAATGATTTTCATTTCCTTAAAATGATACTTACCATGTTACTTATTATGTCCGACATAATAATAAAATTAATTGTGAGAAAAAATTGCCTCACAAACATCTGGACTATAAATGAGAAAGATCGGATGGTTGAAAAAGGTAGTGAGGCAACTTTTTTGAAAATAAATTATTTAAATAAAATAATATTGAGCATTCAAAAATTTATTCGAGATTAAAATTTAACATATTCATTTACGATGAATGCGATAGAGATTCTTCATTCTTTCTCATCATTCTCAAATATTCATCATAAATCATGTATGGATGAATGTTTCAAAGATTCTCTCCTTTTTCATGAATATTCAAGTAATTTTTTTGCTTCCTTCTTTTCATTTCATTTCACGAATTTATATAAACATTTATTTTGAGTCTATATTATAGACGTATGAAGGCATACATGGATACACGCGAAGAAAAGGGTTCTGTTATTATATTTAGCCTGCTTCAAAAATTTATTTCATCCATGGATCCTTTTTCACTTATTTATTTACAAATGCCTTTCATTCATTGAGGAATTGAAAAGAAAAGAAATGAAACATATTAAGGATTTTGATGAAAAGAATTGTAAAGAATGAAACCTTTAAGGAAAAAACAAACTTATTTTTTGATGTCTGTTGTTATGAAGAATGTAATGAACTTTGGATATATTACGAGTACTATGAAAGCTTTCGGCATATGTTCGATTTTGAATTGATTTTTGATACAAATTCGGAATCAATTTTTTAGCATCCAATTCACAATAAGATGTAAGATACTTTTAGAGCGAAGTCATTACTGTGTAGGAAGCAATCTGAAATTTCAACCCATTAATAAAATCTTTATTGAATTATGGAAACTTCAATATTTGAACATCATTCTTTGTTATTTGATAACTTTACTTTCATGAATATTTTATATTTTCATCAAAAGCATCAAACTTTTCCGACCTTGAATCTCATTTCAATATTTGGAATTACAGGAAAGCCCACACGAGTGAAGAACATAATACACTCAGAAAATCGATTTACTAAGCATTAAAAATTTACTAAGCACATTTTTAAAAGTTCTTTTTATAAATATCAAAAAAAAAATCTTAAATGTTTTATTTTTAAGAACATTTGTAAAATTATTCAACCCAATTTAAACAGACAGAAATTTTTTTTAAATTTCAATAACAATTTCTGTTGAAATTCAAAAACATTAAATGCTTCCATCATAATAATGTTTTCCCACATCATTTAAATTGAATTTTATAAAGTAAACACATGTTGTTGTAATATAAGTAATTTTCTGAATTTCATTACAATTTTCAATGAAATTTTCTTTCCTTTTTGTGTTTTTTCCGACATTTTACAAACAAACATGAAAATATAAAATGAAAATTTTTGCATTCTTTTTCAAAATAATATTCTCCGTTGCCTCCTGAACCATTAACGTATGTACATGGAAAGGAAGAAAGGCAAAAGGAAAAGAAGATGCTCTCAAATAAATGTGAAAGCAATTTGCAAAATCTGTTCCAGCTCATTGCCATATGCAAATTTTTCATCCGTTCACAAAAATTTTCTATTTTTGTGTTCAAACTAAGCACACATTGATCTTCCTAAATAAAGTTATGGGTTATAGATTTTATCTTCTTATTATCATTTTCCTCTACGAACTTTTATCTGTGTCAAGTGGTTGTGTGTTTGAATGTTGTTTTAGAATAGATAAAATAATCATTAAAAAAATGATAAAAGAAATGCGAAAAGTAAAATTTTTCAGAGAGAAAAAAAAATATAACGGAATTGTAGACGAATGGAATGAGTCAAGACAATATGATCAACCTGAAGAATTTAATTTTTTTAAAATTTAATTCAACACCAGAAAAAATCCAGATCAGAATATTAATAAATGTTAAAAATTCATATATTTGGTATCCACTCCACGACTAGCTTTCACATATATAGTGCAATGGAAGGATAATCAAACATTTGCTATGCTTGATAGAATTTTAAAATCTCCATAACCAACATGATGAATATACCTGTAAAACAACATCATGAAAAATATATATTTTTTATTCGA